GAGGCGGTGGCCGGGAGCGGCCACTGCACTCCAGTCTGGGCGACGTAGTGAGACTCCAACTCAAAAAAAAAAAAAAAGAACAAGAAGGCCAGGGTGACTCAGAACCCAAAAGTGAATGAGGGGTGAACAGGAAGGACAGGCAGGGGCCAGATCTCTCGGGGTCTTCGAGACGAGGTCTGGAGCCTGCTTTATAAAAAGATGATCAAGACATAGTAATCATATAAGACTTTCTGTGTGCCAAGCCCTGTTTTTTAAGCAATTGCAATGTATTGTTTCTCACAACAGCACCATAAAATCCATATAGTCAGAGTGCTCAGAACACGATGTCCTCCCTCCTTTGGCCTCCTCCACGGGGAAGGATTTTGTCTCCCTTCAGAGTCCTCTTAAGGTCCTCTTCAGCCTGCCAAAAGCCCCTGAATTCTTTTCATAAACCTCAAGGTCGGTTCTGTGTTTCTTGGTCCCTCCCCACATGGCCCTATCACAACAGCCTCAGGGACACTTTCCAAGAGCCATCTTTGTGTCTCTTCACCTGTCCCTGGCTGAACTGGCCCCCCTGATCCCCCGGGGAAGCAGCCGGCCCTCAGTCCAGGTCCACTCTCACAGACACGTCCGAGCCCTCCGTGTGTTAGAGTGGGGCTTTCCCACGTTCCTCTACTGCCCTCTGCTTGTCTTGAAAGAGGAAGAGAGAGAGAGAGAAGGACCAGGGAAATGGAGGTCAACGCGCTAGGGGAGCCCACAGGGAAGGGAAGCAGGTTACCAGACGAGGGCTGAAGGATCCCCAGTCTTGGTGCCAACACCCGTGCCCCAGGCCTCCAGGACCCACCTTGTTCACCTGTTTCTCTGAAGTCCTGCCCCACATCCTGGCTGGCAGCCTGGAAGGCAGACGGCACAGCATGGCGTGGTAGGTGTCCTTGTCCTGGGGCCTCCGGGCAACCTTCTGGCTCAGCGCCAAGAGATCAAGGCACAGAAATGGGAGGGCACGGGCTGAGGACTGTGGGTGGTGACAGAGGTAGCTAGTGCAAGTAAGCGAAAGGACTCTGATCACTGAACTCAAGGTCAAAAGGTAAAAGCTTAAGGTGGATGTGTGTAAAGGGTTACTTGCAGGGTCCTGCCTCGCAAGGGTCGTGAGATATCCTGAAGGAGAGACGGATAGTCGAAAGACGAAGATAATATACTCGGACACCTGCTTCCTGAACAGATGACAATTTAATGTTAGTTAACACAGAGCTTTTATACCATTCGTGAAGGGGCAAGACAAAGAAAATTCCTTCATGTACATATCTTCTAAAAGTTACCATCTAGTGGTCTTAGTAGTAAACAAACCAAGATTCCCATAGGCATTTAGACAACAAGTCTTATTCATAAAGCCAACAATGATACTTTCAGTCCAATGTCCCAAATTACAGTCCTTGAAATGTCTCAAGAAAATTTCTTTAAGTGTACACTTTTTCATGTGTCAGGAATTTTCCCATCTTAGGCTTTTATGTTCTTCAGAGTCCCATTATCGCCTCCCTTGTCCAGATGTCCTCGTTACTTTTCTCTTATCTTGCACTGCTTGTTTCTAAAGAGAACTCAAAAGAAGCTTTTAGTAATGTTTCCCAGGCCCCCCAAGGTTGCTTTCTGTCTTTAGCTGATCTATCATAAAAGTGTCTGATTAGTATATTATGAGTTCAGTGAAAACCCACTTTATAAATGTTAACTTAGAGTTTTAACTATTGAATTAAGTAAAAACCTTAACATTAATCTTTATCCTAAGTCAGTTAAAACAGTGTTATAAGTCACCTACATAACTCCTAGATAAGTGTTAGAACTTATAATGAATTCATAATGAACTTACTATAAACTTGTGCTTTTAAAAAACCTTATGTCTAAACACTAAACTGCATAATTCTAAATCAAATAAGGAGTGAATATACTTATATCATTTTTTACTTAAGCAATATCTAGTAACTTATAACCAAGTGAAGGAAAGTATTCTTGATGTGCTTCAGAGTTTAACCCTTGCATATGTTAGAAAGGCCAAACAGCATAGTGGGAAATGGAAAAATAAACCATGACATTTCCAGGTTAGCTGTGAGTACTTCACATAAACATGCCATTTTCTTTTTCCACGACTGCACAGAATTCTTCGGCGGTATCAAACAGCAAAGGTGGAAGACAGAAGGGCCTCAGCTTTCTGGGCTCGCCCTGCGGCCCGGGGTCTTTGGCCCACCAGGACCCTGTCAATCAGGTGGGCCTCCAAGACTGGCTCCCAACAGTTACTTCTTTTGTGTGTGTGTGTGTGTTGGAGTCTCACTCTGTCGCCCAGACTAGAGTGCAGTGGCCGCTCCCGGCCACCGCAGCCTCAACCTGCTGGGCTCCGGCGATGCTTCCGCCTCAGCCTTCCGAGTAGCTGGAACTACAGGCGCGCACTACCACGTCTGGCTAATTTTTTGATTTATTGTAGAGATGAGGTCTCACCAAATTGCCCAGGTGGGTCTCGAACCCACCGGCTCAGGCAATCCACTCTCCTCAGCCTCCCAAAGGCGTGGGATTACAGGCTGAGCCACCGAGCCCAGCTAGGATTACTTCTTAATAACATATAAAACACCAGCCCCAAGTATTGAAGGGACCTTTATTCTAGGGTGTGAGCCCTCTGGTCTATTTAGGAGTGTGTCTCCAGAGTGCGAGATCTCTGGACTGTGTGCGTCCAGGGTGTGAAGTTGTGAGCTGTCTGAATTGGCATATAACTTATTATGTGTCTGTTTTTGAGCTGAGATCTCTATGCTCTTAAGAGTTCTGTGCCCCTAGCTGGGCTCAGTGGCTCAGCCTGTAATCTCGCGCCTTTGGGAGGCTGAGGTGAGTGGATTGCCTGAGCCCACGGGTTCGAGACCCGCCTGGGCAGCGAGACCTCATCTCTACAATAAATCAAAAAATCAGCCGGGCGTGGTAGCGCACACCTGTAGTTCCAGCTACTCGGAAGGCTGAGGCGGAAGGATCGCCGGAGTCCGGTAGGTCAAGGCTGCGGTGGCCAGGAGCGGCCACTGCACTCCAGTCTGGGCGACAGAGTGAGACTCCAACTCAAAAAAAAAAAAGAGTTCTGTGCCCCAAGGTGTGATGTGTCTGAATTATTTTGGGGGTGAAATCTGGGGTCTTCCCCATCCCCACTTCACTCTCCCTCACCCCACTCTTGCCCTTCACTGCAGAAAGTCAGAGAACATTCATCAACCCTGTTGCTGTTCACCCTTCTCTGAGCTGAGCCCCCTTCTTTCTTGCAGGTTGCCTGCCTGGCCCCTGAGGAGGGTGGATGTGAGACTTTTGTTGCTAGATACACCCAAGTTACTCCAAACACACTGTGTTGTGGATATTGGTTGCTGTTTTTGTTTGTTTGTTTGCTTTTGAGTCAAGGTCTCATTCTGTTGCCCAGGCTGGAGTGCAGGCGTGATCCTGGCTCACTGCAATTTTGATCTCCTGGGCTCAGGTGATCCTTCTGCCTCAGGCTCCCAAGCAGCTGGGACTACAGGCAAATGCCACCACATCACCCAGCTCACTTTTAATCATTTTTTTGGTAGAGACAGGGTCTCACTATGTTGCCCAGGCTGGTCTCAAACCCCAGAGCTCAAATTATCCTCTGCCTTGGCATCCCAAAGTGCTGGGATTACAGGCATGAGTCACTGTGCCCAACCACTGTGCTACAGATTTTTTTTTCTTTTGAATAGGAATCTCACTCTGTTGTCCAGGTAACAATAGGAGAAATAGAACCAACATATGATTTGTTTTGTTTTTTTGAGTTGGAGTCTCACTCTGTTACCCAGGCTAGAGTACAGTGGCACACTCACAGCCACCACAGCCTCGACCTGCTGGGTTTAGGCAATCCTTCAACCTCAGCCTTCCAAGTAGCTAGAACTACAGGAGCGTGCTACCACACCCAGCTTATTTTTTGGTTTATTGTAGGGACGAGGTCTCACCCAGTTGCCCAGGCTGGTCTCAAACCCCCAGGCTCAGGCAATCCTCTCGCCTCGCTGCCCAAAGTGCTGGGATTACAGGCTGAGCCACCGCACCCGGTCAACATATGATTTATTTATTTATTTATTTATTTTATTTTATTTTATTTATTTATTTATTTTTGAGTTGGAGTCTCACTCAGTCGCCCAGACTGGAGTGCAGTGGCCGCTCCCGGCCATCGCAGCCTCGACCTGCTGGGCTCCGGCGATCCTTCCGCCTCAGCCTTCCGAGTACCCAGAATTACAGGTGCACGCTACCACGCCCACTAGTTTAATTTATTGTAGAGATGAGGTCTCGCTGCCCAGGCGGGTCTCAAACCCACGGGCTCAGGCAATCCACTCACCTTGGCCTCCCAAAGCGGGGGGCTATAGGCTGAGCCACTGAGCCCGGCTTCATATGATTTATTATAAAGAATTGGCTCATGCAGTTATGGGGGCTGAGAAGTTCCACAATCTGCCATCTGCAAGCTGGGGACCCAGGAGAGCCAGTGGTATAGTTCTGAGAACCAAAGAACTGATACTTAATCCTCAAATGAAGACAATAAAAAGGTCATAATTCTACCTTACATGATATAACTATCCTGTGTACAAGCAAAAATGCACTACCCCTTCCTTGGAAGAGGAGGTTTGTCCCAGTTGAGGGCAGAGGACTGATGTTACAGCTCAAGCAGCCGAGCAAATTTCACTTTCCTCCACCTTTTCATTCTACTGAGACCCTCAATGGATTTGATGCTTCCCACTCACATTGGGGAGAGCAATCTCCACCAATTCAAATGCTAACCTCATGTGGAAACATCCTCATAGATACATCCAGGAATAATGTCTAATTAGGGAGCTCTGTGTCCCAGTCAAATTGACACACAGAATTAACCATCACAAGTCCTCCCCTTGTCAACTTGGCGCTCATACACATCTCATTGAACCATACTTAATCTCAAATGAAGATAATAAAAAGGTCATAATTCCAACGTACATGATACAACTACCCTGTGCCAAAAATGCAAAAATACACTAACCCCTTCCCCAGAAGAGAAGACGTCCTTGAGTGAGGTTTACTTTTCTCCTTGATATCCAGTACATTAAATACTATTATGTAAAATTAAAAATACTTAAATACTATGCTGTAAAGTCAGCATCTCATGTTACACAACAAGAGAATAAGAGAGACCCGCCTGGGCAGCGAGACCTCATCTCTACAATAAATCAAAAAATCAGCCGGGCGTGGTAGCGCATGCCTGTAATTCCGGCTACTCGAAAGACTGAAACGGAAGGATAACTGGAGCCCAGCAGGTGGAGGCTGCGGTGGCCGGGAGCGGCCACTGCACTCCAGTCTGGGCGACAGAGTGAGACTCCAACTCAAAAAAAAAAAAAAGAGAATAAAAGACAAAAAACAAAGATATTTGCTGCACACACACACACAGAAATGTATTCACAACAAAATGAGGAAATACTCATGACAATTACAGTCCTCATTTCTGCAACTGGTCATGTGGTCAGAGCTGGTACGGTATTGATAACCACCTTCTTTCACTGTCCATGCTATTTTCCCTTTGCCCTCAGCAAGCACTTCTTCTGGTTGTGGTTCCTTGCCTGGTGGGGTGACCCAAACCTTAATTCCTGCAGAATCTGGGCTATTTTTAGTCTTGCCTGAATTGGGATGTTTTAGTTTTCTTTTCTTTCTTTTTTTTTTTTTGAGTCAGAGTCTCACTCTGTTGCCTAGGCTGGAGTGTAGTGGCATGCTGCTCATGGCCACCACAGCCTCGACCTGCTGGGCTCAGGCAATCCTTCTGCCTCAGCCTTCCAGGTAGCTAGAACCACAGACGCGCACCACCACACCTGATTAATCTTTTTATTTATTGTGGAGACAAGGTCTCGCCAAGTTGCCCAGGCGGGTCTCGAACCCGTGGGGCCAGGCAATCCACTCACCTCAGCAGGTGGCAGTTT